GAGGGGCGTGACTTAGGATGGTCTAGCCTTCATATTTACTCCTGCCTATGCGTGACCTTAACCCTAACCCACCACAACATACCATACCGTACCATACCATACCACACCATAACATTCTATAACATACCACACCACACCATAACATTCTATAACATACCACACCACACCATAACATTCTATAACATACCACACCACACCATAACATTCTATAACATACCACACCACACCATAACATTCTATAACATACCACACCACACCACACCATAACATAACATACCACACCATAACATACTATAACAAACCATACCACACCACAACACACTATAACATACAATACCATACCACACCACACCAAAACATACTATAATATACCATACCACACCATACCATACCACACCACAGCACACCATAACATACTATAACATACCATACCATACCACACCATAACATACCATAATATACCACAACATACCACACCATAATATACCATTACATACCACACCATAACATACCATAATATACCATAACATACCACACCATAACATACCATAATATACCATAACATACCACACCATAACATACCATAATATACCATAACATACCACACCATAACATACCATAATATACCATAACATACCACACCATAACATACCACAACATACCACACCATACCACACCACACCATAACATTCTATAACATACCATACCACACCACACCATAACATACCATAATATACCACACCACAAAATACCATACCACACCACACCATAACATACCACACCATACCATACCACACCACACCATAACATACCATAATATACCACACCACAAAATACCATACCACACCACACCATAACATACCACACCATACCATACCACACCACACCATAACATACCATAATATACCATAACATACCACACCATACCATGCCACACCACAAAATACCATACCGTACCACACCACACCACACCATACTACACCATAACATACCATGACACACCATACTGTACCCAGGATTTCCCCCAGCACTTTATAAGCCTGGCCACCCGCCAGGCTAAGCGTCATGCCCCGCCCCCCTCCCCGACTCTACCGTGTCCGCTGACACGAACGGCGCAATGAAACTAGAGCCCTCCATCAGCTGATACCGGTGAGAAACTGCAGCGGAACGTGTGCACCCCACTCCCTCCCGGTGAGCACTGCGGGGATCGGAGTGCGCGAACAGCCCCCCCCCCCGCAGGAGCGTTGCGGAATGGAGGGTGCGCCCCCCCCCCCCAGCCGCCAGGCTTAACTCATTTTCTGGGGGAAACCCTGCATACCACAACACAACACACCATGTTCATTTGTAAAGAACATTTAAAAACAGCATGAAAGCTGACCAAAGTGCTGTACAGTACTAAAATAAATAAATACATAAATAAATAAAAGACTAGATAAAAATTCAGCTAAAAAAGATATTTATTTATTTATTTAAAAGAACGTACTAAAGTAAAACAAGGCCACGACTAAAAGCATAATATAAAAAACATACTAAAAAGTTAGCCGGTATCGGGCTGGTGGTAGTTATTTTGGTAAGAGAAGAAGAAATGGTTGTGTCACTTCCTGATTCTTGAGTCTTATGACTGCAGAATGGCGTTTTCGTCGGCCGGAGAAGAGACAGATAGTCTATTTTATGTTGGTGGCTCAAACGCAGCGGTTTGAATAGCCAAAGCTTTACCCCGAAGGGATTTTGACATGATTGAGATGAGATAGTTTCCTGTCTGTCATCAAGCCAAATATGAATGTTTATTCACCCGTGACTGAAGGAGTACAAAGATATGCAGCAAGCGTTTCATTCGTGGACGGAAAAGACGAGAAACACAATCGAATGAGGTGGATGGAGGACAAATTTGTTCGTGTTCAAAGTCTTTGAAATACATTAAAACAATGTAAACACATAAGTAAATACACCCTCGTGGATACTGTATAGTATAGTAATAATAATCGTCATCACTTTAGGCTACTTACTTAGCCTAAAGACGCAACTCTCGTCTTTTGTCATCTGCCACAACAAGCTTCCCTTTTAGATGCTTGTGCATCACCATCATGCATCTATGGAGGACGGGTTCTGCCTTGAAGATTTTGCACATACTTCTTTTGAATTTTTATTAAATGCTCCCAAATTCTCGAGTTTCGTTGCCCGTTACGATTATTTGGGCTTTTTCCGGTGATGCCAGGGCTGACCCAGAGTGCCACTACTGTGCATGTGCGTCAAGGGCAGAAAGACACCCCAAGAGGCAGTTTTGAGAGAAAAAAATAAATAAAAAAAATTAAAAACACTGATTATTAATTTTTACATAGACGATTTTGGTAGTTGAATAAATTGTGGGAAATCAATTAATTTTGGCAGCACTAACTCTGACTGGAGCCAGGCAAAGAGTAATTGTAATTATTTTAAATCTTTTTATTTTCTCCAAAGAGACTCACTATTTAGCATGACAATTCTTATTTTTAGTTTGTGTGAGGAAACCGGAGCACCCGGCAAAGACTCACGCATGCATGAGGCAAACATCCATGCAGAAAGAGCCTTGCTGGGATTTGAACATGCAACCTTCTTAATATAGGTCAACACGCAGCATTTCAAAAGAATGACACCAATTATTTCACTGGGAATATTGAGGATAAAAAGTGAAACATCCTTCAATTCATTTTCTACGTTATTAATATAATAATTTGGTTTCTGCAATTAGATGGGACACTTTGTTCTTAATGCACAGCTTGATGAAGTTCCTGTGCCCATGGTTCATTAGTCGTTATCAGTTAATGTAAACTACAAAACTTGAAACGGCACGAATAAAATAATACAAAGCAGCTGAAAAAATGTATTAAAGTCTGAAAAAGCAGACTCTGCTGCCCTCCTCCATCTTATCACAGTTCAGAAAGCCCTGTAATTGAAAAGGAGATTCGCCTAGCAATCCCCTCACAGATGGTGAATTGCATTTCTGAGACAATAATAGGATTGTGAACCTCGCCATTCAATAACTCCCCTCAACCATTCAAAGCTCAAAGTGAAGTGAAGAGGCGAAGTTTTGCAGCCGATCTCAGCCTCTTGTGCTTCTGTCTGACTCAAACCTCACGTGACACCTTGGCTCTGGCCCAATGGGAGCCAGCTCATCGCTAAGTCGCACTCCTGCACATGTGTGACTGTTCAGGCACTTTCGGCGTGATGGTTACCCTCCGGCTGGAAAAGAAATGAAGCCCAGAAGAAGGCCTCTTTGGAAGACAGGTCCTTGTTAGAAACTGACCAACTTTCAGGCTGGAGATTTATTCTGGAGCACAGAGTGGAAGAAGCTGCTGGTCCCAGAAAAGGTCACATTTAGAAATGATGAATGACATTATTATGGCTTGTTGTGCACATATTTTTGAATTGTGACCACTGGCCCTAACTTCAACCAAACAAGCCCTTCAATACTGTTAGATGATGTTCTGGGTTCTTCTGTTTAAAGAGCAAGTCACCTCCTACCAGTCTAACTCCACTCCCACATTTTTAAAAAAAAAGCACCACAAGGAGGCGTTGCCTGGCAGAAAGACAGGGTGGAGCCGCTAACAAATACACACACACATAGGCTCACATTGGCATTGTGACATCATATGGTACCAGCGAACGTCATAGGGTACCTCTTAGCCAATAGCGATGGCAGATTTTAATTCAAATGTAGAGCATAGTTTTTATCTGAAGTGGGCGCAACACACCCAGTTTTTGGCAGAAATTTTTAAATTAAACTAAGATGCACTAAAGTGCCTAATTATTGACTACATGTGTCTACAGCACGATTAGACACTCATTTATAGTTTATCAGCAAAAAAAGTTGGGTGACTTGCTCTTTAAATTCCTTGGAACAAGGTATGATATACTGCTTCATGAGACCTTTTAGCCTACTTCAGACAGCTTTGCCTGAAGGGGGTTCCTAATTGTACACATCTGCTGGTTATCAGGTCTTTGTGCAGCTATTAAAATAAAAGGAAGGTAGTCACAGTTAATTCATGAGTTTGAGAGGAGGGGAAAATATAGCATTGTTTTGTTAATAAATCAGCTTATCATTGGTACAAATGTTTTTAAACAAAAACACAAAGACAGGAAATCTGCAGTATCTACAAAAAGATATTTGATAAAAAAAAGTGCAATATGGAAGTACAGGAATTACTTTCTGATATGCCTTAGTTTCAATTTTACATTAAAGCAAATACGTTTCCCTGCTTTTCCCTCCTACTGGTTGAAAGCAGAATTACAACTGTCGTAAACAACCCTGCCCACAGCCTGCTGTAGCTAGCGCTAACAACAAGCTAACGCTGACAAGAGTCATCTGACACGAAATAAGTAAAAAGATCCACACTGTTGGACAAAAATATATGATTACTTACAAATCCAGTAGCAACAAAGTCAGGCCAACATCAGTCCGTGATGTTGTTACTCCCTTTAGCTCCCTCAAACTAGTGTAGTCTGCACCAATGTTCACACTGATTTAAGCTCTCCAAAGACATCACTCTCTTATTTTTACTTCCAGTATTCACCATCTTGCCAACAAAAAAAGCTAAATTCTTCTTCTTGAACTTTTAATTGATGGGTGATTACCTGAAAAAGCTAACTACTAGCCTTTAAGTTAGCTATCTACACTGTAAAGCAGGTAGAGACCTCTCACCAGTGTCCCTACCAGAACCACAAAACTGTTGAGTGCAGTTTCTGGTCCGCAGAGGGCTGCAGAGTGGTGTCCAAGGTAAAGTTGCTGAGGTTAATGGCTCAAGAATCACTGAAACCAGTTGAAAAGCAATAGCTTAATGTATCAAAAACTCTTTAATGTTGCTCTAAGTGAAAATCTAAATGGTATAAATATGAATACAAGTTTAAACCCATTGAAACTCATCTTTTCCCCTCTTAAAAATCACTGTTAATAATGAAAATTATTACTCAAAAGACCCGACCCCCTCTTGGTGGCACCACTGACCCACTTAAATGAGGCTCACCCATTAGATAAGTGCCCAGCTTGCACATGGTGGCTCCGAAGATGAAGTCCTGCAGGATGTTGGGGATGAGCGTGAAGGGCATGCAGAAGATGGCCATCATCAGGTCGCTGACCGCCAGCGACAGCAGGAAGGAGTTGGTGACGGTCCTCATGCGCTTGTTTGCTGTTAGAACCACGATGATCAACAAGTTGCCAAAGACACTCAGCAGAAAGATGAGTGTGTAGAGCAAGATACGGAACCGGCCCATCTCTGAGAAAGACAAAAAAAGCAAACAGCGGGCGTCACCAGCTTGGATGTCACCATTATTATTACCTGAAAGAGTTCTGTTTACCTGTTTCAATCTACATTATTTCAGTTTCTGCTTTTACTTTTGAGACAGAAGAAAATGAAAGTGGAAGAGCCAATAAAATAAGACATCTGAGGGAGATTATCTAAATGAGATTTTTGGGAAACATTTGTTTAACTTGCAAGAGTAATTTTCTTATCAAATATTTAATGTCCAGAATGACAGATGATATAATAAACTGAAATTACAGAGATAAACAAAATACACACAGGCAATATGACTTCTGTATGGAGGAAAACAGACAGAATCAACCAGGGAAATAAGATTTTTGTTGCATTAACAATCCCAAAGTGTATTATAGGACAGAATAATTTGGTGTAAGCATCTTAAATTGTGTTACTGTCAGTGTTCTCCTGTTTTTCCTGCAAGCAAAAGCAATAATTATAATGATCTCCAAAAATAATGAAGACAAATCAACAGGGCAGAGCAGTCATATTGTTTAATGGGGAAAACACCCAAAATGACATTCTAAATTTATAACAGAGACAGGGGCAGGGCCAGAGGGGAACCCCAAAGGTGTCTTGGTCTGAGACTAGAATATGAATTGTCTAGACACACAGATGACAGCTGGATAAGAAAGCAAAACTCAGCGAGGGTTCTTCTCAGTGTTTATGTTGGTCCTAACTGCTTTATTTTGGACAGAGACCTCATGTCTCCTGATATCTGTTGAAGGTACTCTGCCAGGTTAGGAGTCACAGCCCCGATTTCTTTGATGACCACTGAGACCTTGACCTTCAACCACTCCTTTATTTCCTCTTCAGCCCCAGGTGATTCTCCTTTTCTTCTCTCCTGTTAATGTTGCATTATCTCTAGCTCTATCTTCAACTCACTGTTGTGTAGTTTGTGTGTCAATCTGGATCTGGAAGTCCTTTAGAATACTAGTCTCCCACTTTGACTGTGGATCATTCTTTGCATTTTCAGCATTTTCAGATGTTCCTGTCCACTAGTCCAGCCACTTGGTCATGGCATTCCATGTATGCTTTGGTCACCTACAAGAGACAGTCTCAGATGTATCTATGCACCTGTTTGTACTGGTAGCCCCAGGACTTTTGCCACGATCAGAGCTTCAGCACTGTCCTTTAGTCCAACCATCTCAAGACGCTGGTAGGGGTTCTTGATATTAGAATAGAATAGAATTAGTGATGCATTGATATCAATTTTTTTGGGCTGATGCAGATATCTGATATTACTATCACTTTTATGGCTGATAACAGATATTTGCAATAGGGCTGAAATGAATTTATCAAATGATTCAAATGGTTCGATTCATTAAATTCCTCGATTACTTCTTTACTGAGCTTCGTTAAAAGTGTGCACCACAGTCTAAACACATTTTACTGGTGCACTATGCAGTGATCCAGGTGCTGTGGAGTTAATTGAAGAGACCAGCAAAGACAGAAGCCATTTTAAAAGGCAGAAACGGTCCAAAGTTTGGGATCTAGATTAAAACTACAGGTAATGCTAAGCTAGCACGTAGCATGCTCATGAATCACAATCAAGTGGAGTTCAGAAAAACACATGTTGGTTGTGAATGACTAAACTCCAGAAGCAGAAGAGGAATCCCCACCATCCCGTTTATTTGTGGATCTCTGCAGCTGCAGCGGTATGGAGCAGAACTGCTGCAGCTGCTACCTGGAGCCTGATGTTGTTGCTACTGAGCGTTAGCCGTTGTGGCATGTAATTCAAAAACTCTTTTATATTTAAATACAATTTAGACTGGATTATGTTGCCAACCTGTACATAATATTATATATATATATATATATATATATATATATAATGTTATTATTATTTCCAGTAGATTACTACTGAACATGTGAAATAATTCAATTCTACTGATCATATCTGAATATATTTAAATATGTTTAGATTAAGATGAGTGAAATTAAACCTAAAATTGTAATGTAATATAAGACAAATTTTGTTCCATAAAATATTTATTAACTGTAAATATCAGCTGGGAAAGAGGGAACTAGACAACACCATTTTATTATATATGCTTATCCTTTTATCATTTAGTTGTTTTATTTTTTTATAATTTTAGCAGAAGGCCACAGTCTTGTTTCACCTGAAACATCATCAAATAGAATACTCGATTAATCGATGGACGATTTGATAGAGTACTCGTCATCGTCTTCCTCCGCTTATCCGGGTCCGGGTCGCGGGGGCAGCATCCCAACTAGGGAGCTTCAGACCGTCCTCTCCCCAGCCACCTCCACCAGCTCCTCCGGCAGGAACCCAAGGCGTTCCCGGACCAGATTGGAGATGTAACCTCTCCAACGTGTCCTGGGTCGACCCGGGGGCTTCCTGCCGGCAGGACATGCCCGAAACACCTCCCCAGGGAGGCGTCCAGGAGGCATCCTGACCAGATGCCCAAACCACCTCAACTGGCTCCTTTCGATCCGGAGGAGCAGCGGTTCTACTCCGAGTCCCTCCCGAATGTCCGAGCTCCTCACCCTATCGCTAAGGCTGAGCCCGGCCACCCTACGGAGGAACCTCATTTCGGCCGCTTGTATCCGCGATCTCGTTCTTTCGGTCATTACCCAAAGCTCATGACCATAGGTGAGGACTGGGACGTAGATCAACCGGTATATCGAGAGCCTGGCTTTCTGGCTCAGCTCCCTCTTCCCCACGACAGATGCGCTCAGCGTCCGCATCACTGCAGACGCTGAACCAATACGCCTGTCGATCTCCCGATCCCTCCTACCCTCACTCGTGAACAAGACCCCGAGATACTTAAACTCCTCCACTTGAGGTAGGACCTCTCCCCCGACCCAGAGTTGGCAAGCCACCCTTTTCCGGTTGAGAACCATGGTCTCAGATTTGGAGGTGCTGATCCTCATCCCAGCCGCTTCACACTCGGCCGCGAACCTACCCAGCAAGAGCTGAAGGTCAGAGCTGGATGAAGCTAGGAGGACCACATCATCTGCAAAAAACAGAAACGAGATTCTCCTGCCACCAAACTCGACACATTCCACACCACGGCTGCGCCTAGAAATTCTGTCCATAAAGGTTATGAACAGAACCGGTGACAAAGGGCAGCCCTGGCGGAGTCCAACCCTCACCGGGAACAGGTCCAACTTACTACCGGCTATGCGGACCAAACTCACGCTCCTCTGGTAAAGGGACTGAATGGCCCTTAACAGAAAGCCACCCACCCCATACTCCTGGAGCGTCCCCCACAGGGTGCCCCTGGGGACACGGTCATAAGCCTTCTCCAAATCCACAAAGCACATGTGGATTGGTTGGGCAAACTCCCATGCCCCCTCCATCACCCTTGCAAGGGTATAGAGCTGGTCCACAGTTCCACGGCCAGGACGAAAACCACATTGCTCCTCCTCTATCTGAGATTCAACTATCGATCGGACCCTCCTCTCCAGTACCTTGGCGTAGACCTTTCCAGGGCAACAGCCGCCTCAACAATCGCAGAGTACTCGAATACTAAAATATTTGATAGCTGCAGCCCTAATTTGCAGATTTATATTATATATATATATATATATATATATATATATATATATATATATATATATATATATATATATATACGCTGACATCTATGCTTCTGAAATCAGTAAATTTTGTATAGACTAAAAATTATGCAAGCAAGGTTATTACACACACCACACACAGTTATGCTTCTGACATGATTACCAAAACTGTCACATGACTTAATTACACATCATCACCCCGTCAACCTCTGAAACAGATACACAAACTGAAACAAGATAGAAAAAGATAGCGGTTGTTAAAATCAGCCCAGTTTTACTTATCAGACCAATACCGATATGTTAAAAAATGACTAACATCGGCCGAAACCGATATTGATGCCAATATATTGTGATGATGAAGTTGTTCATTTGATAGACATAGCAATTACATTGGACAAACCAGATGCATTGGTGTAAGTGTTTGTAGCACTAGTGCTAATTCACAACACTTATCCATATCAGCAATTCAAAAAAACTAAAACAAAAGAAAACCACCAAGCAACATATCAGGTAAACTACAGCAATATCCTGTCTAAAAACACAAAGCCAATGGTACTTGATAACAGCAGCGGCTTAAAACGATCTCCTAACACATGGATTTTCTACATCCTGATCATGTGGCGTGTGACGTACATGGATGAAGATCAGCTTTAGAGCTGAGATGTTTGTTCTCACGGTGCGGGGGCTCGTTCCGACGCCCACACAGTAAAAAAAATGCAAATGACGACTTTAGTTGTCAATGGCAGTGAATGAGTTAAGGGGTTTGGGGGGTTAAACCACCAACTAGTTCCCGAGCGCTCATTGCTCCCCACGGGGATGGGTGAAATGTGGAGATGTAATTTCAGCAGGGTGTGATGATGACTATAGGACTTTACTTTCCGCAGCATCATGCACCGTGTCTCAAATTGTGTTAAACTGTGAGGTATTGGACTTATTAGTTCTTAATAAGGACTGCTGTTCACAATATTCAAAAATAAGTCTGGGTAAAGAGGGTGAAGAGGGTAGATAGATGCACCGATAATCATTTAATAATAACATCGCAGCAATCTGATTAGTGTTTGAATCATGTGGAGCCTAAAGGTTCCCACCCCACTGTCAATACGCCAGGCGGCCCAGCTGGAGGGTTTTGGGGATGCTCCCTTCGCCTGTGACAGTGAGCCAGTTTGAGCTTGAGAGCATCTGACAGGACGAGGTCGGGGTCAGCCATGTGCTTCGCTGACTGGGTCCACTGATTTAAGACATGTCCAAAGGTCTGCAGCAGAGCCTGCAGACAGGACACTGCCCCCCCTAGAAGACACGCAGAACAAAACCACTACAAAGGGTTTTAAATGGCCCTTTGTGCCACAGTTAATGCTTGGTTACATAAATAGCTTTTGAATGACTCAGACTATTTTTATTTAAACTCATCTTGT